AGGGAAAGTGAAGTTAAAGGTTAGCGCTGCTGGAGCTGGTTGTTACACCTCCACAAAAATAGGACCTACTGGCTGTAATTATTATCAGAATCAGCCTAAAAAATCTTGTATAATGTGATTGTAGAATGGAAAGAGTTGATTAAATATCCTGGTAACAATACAGAGGACATGACCTCAGTACGTATGAGCTTTTCCAGTTAAATTTAAGAAAAAAAGTAAGGCTAACTATATCCATCAAGAAGCTCTAGTAAATCATATCAGTACTGGATTCCCTGTTGGTCTTTGAGGCTGTGTTTGGTCCTATTCATGCCGTGTTCACTGCTGAGCGAATTGCCGGCGCTGCACCCCGCCATCATTCCATGCCAGGCCCCCCCGCCCCTGGCCTGAAAACCTCCAGTGCTTGAGTAAAGGTGTAAACACCTTCATACAGTCTGTGGTAAACACAAACACTCCCCTGGTGCTCCGAGCTCCCAGTATGGGCAGAGCTAATCTGACCAGTGGCTGCACAGCTAACTGAGCTAAGCACACTCATTTCTCTAAACTCTACTCACAAATCCCTTCATTTCTCATTGCCTGCACCATGTGGTCATTGAGAAAACACTGACATTCAATATTGTTCACTCAATCAGCACAGGCTGAGCTCGATTAGCACACAGGTGAACCACAAACAGTCAAAATTGATAACACACCAATCAGAAGATTCAATAGAAAGATAAAAGGCCCAATGCCAGTTCATTTATTTTAGGAACAATGGATCCAGAGAAATCTGAAGGAAGACAGAGAGGACACCAGAGAGGAGGAGGAGACACAGTATGGAGAGGAGTAAAGCCTAGGTCACACTACACGATTTACGTGTGAACTACTCAACGACGCATCAAAACGACTCCCCGACACATTTCTGACACATCGCCGACGTCTGCCAGAAATCCAGCATGCCAAATATCTGCCGGAGTCGGCCGACTCAACATCCATATCCAGCCAATGAGAGCAGGCAGCTAATTTTTCACTGCATAACACTTTTTACTCCGGCAGGAGTAGGAGTAGGGAGGGAGGAGTAGGTGGAGAACAAGAGTCTCTGGCCTGTCATAGACCAAAGACAGGACGCTGGGGCTGAATAAGTAGTTGTTGGGTGTGTTGAACTGTTCAGCACACTAAGGAATAAAACATGAGCAAATGTTTACATTTGTTATTTCTTTTGTGTTCATCATGTGAAAAGGTTTCTGAGGGGGAGAACCATTATTACTAATAACCAGTTTTTGTAGTATTGCTTTGAATCTCTCTCACCAGTGTGTCAGACCGTGTTGCAGTGTGTGTGTTTCTGAGGGCTTGTGTGTCATGTCTGAGGGCAAAGTTTGGTTTTTCAGCAAGATTGAATAGTTTTGAGTGGCGAGCTTCATTTTAACCTGAAAATAGGATGTTTGGGAAATTGGGTGAGAAGTTGTGGATTTGCGTTTAGAGTTTCTAGAAAAAGAAGCATAATTTCAAGAAATGTGTTTAAGAAATCAAGAAACTAACTTCAGCAACAAGTTAAAGCTCTCTGTCCATCAGGAAACTCTGTGAATCACAGAGTTGAGGCAGAGCAGCTGGGGGACACCAGAGAGAAAATTAGAATATATTTTCTAAATTTCTCTAATATTTCTCCATCAAATATGATCGAGTTTCACCAAAATCAGTGAAAAAGTTATTTTTGTACAGCATTCAATGGCGCCCGGTCCGTGAAACACGATGCTTCAGCAGCTTTATATTGAGAAATCTTTTCACTGGACGCTAAATTAATACAACAAGTGCAGAGTGAGTCATCAACATTTCAAAATGGTTGTCCAAATGACAAATTCTTAAATATCATCAAGAATACCTCTAAAACAACATTTGTCATTGATGGGCCAGACATAGTGCAAAGCATATCATAGAAAAACATTTAAACATGGATTTTGGGAACGGAAGATTTTGTTATTCTATGTCACACTAAGCAGACAACGCATCTTCACTTGTCTTCATTTGCATATGAAGTAATCTAAAAGTAACTAAAAGTAATCAGATTAAATTACTTTTATTTTGTGGTACTTGGATTATGTTATAAGTAAATAATTAGTAATTGTACCGGATTACATTTTAAAGTAATCCTCCCAACCCTGTTACTGTACACTTTTCTGGGTTAATTGCTGTATTTAATTTATGTATTTAATTGTCTTACCAGTAACAGAGAGTCTGACAGAGTCACTTAAAGGGGAGCTGACTCTGACTTGAAACATTTCTGATACTGACACTGGTACGATCCTTCATTATCAAAGTTCACTTTAGGTATAATGAAGGTAGCAGAGTTGGTACTTGATGTTTGGGTCTTTCTGAATGAGCCTGAGGTCTGCTGCAGGAGGAATGTTCCCTAAATGCTGATTGAGATGGAACAAGTGATGCTGACGTCTGACCCCAGGTAACCTCACCAGCAGGATTCATGGAGATGCTGGGCTTTGAGGGCTCTCTGAAAAAATAACACAACAATAAAAATATTAAATGTATTTGTTTAGATATTTGACCCTGCCTGTCTTTTTTCAATAAGCATGTAGTAGTAAGGCAGTATAATGGGCAACTTGAATGAATGATCCACTCTAAAAATAGCCAACTCATAACGTCTTGGTTTATCTAATAGGTTTAAAGATGTGAGAATTTATAATTTTATTCTGTTATTGTAATTATGATAAATATGTATATGATTCTCCTTTCCATTTTGGCTTTGTTCCCTTTTACAGATTCTGACTGAAGGAGTAGCACTTCAGAGCATAAACATATATAGAGGTAGACGCCCTATGGAACCGGTCATACTCCCAGTTGCGCAGCTGAAGAAAGCAAGATGTCAGAGCACTGTGCAGCATATTCATGCTCAAATTGGCAGACCATCGCAAACAGAGCTCAGGGGATTACGATAAGTAAGATTTAACATTACCGTACTATTGGTTGTATTTTGTGAATAGAATATTACCAGAGAGTTGAGAAGGAGCAAGGATCTTTGATATTACTGTACTGAAATCGTAGCCAGCTAGCTAGGCTATGTTTACTGCACCGGCCGGTGTTCACCCGGCCACCCGTGCTCATTCTTCTTACTCTCATCTGTTTCTGCTTCTCTATCATATTTATAGTGTGGGATCATAGGGTGACCAGATGTCCCTGGCTTCAGGGAGTGTCCCCGTTTTTGGCTGCCTGTCCCTGGCTAAATACAGAAAAAAACTCTGAATAGAAGTAATAGTATTAGTTTAAAATAGAAAAAAAATAATGTCCCCGTTTTTTCCCCCTTTTCAGGGATTATGTTCCCAGTTTTGATCTCGGATGTCTGGTCATAAAAGTGAAAGCATGAATAGAAAGAGTTAAGAGACACGACACACCGCACAGAAACACTGTTGCAGGCAGGTGCAAACTGATGCACATAGACACCTGGGTTGGGCGCAGGTCAGACACTGCCTGGCTTTGGTGACCAAGCATCTCTGTTACAGATGGAAATTAAATTACAGTTTTTCTCAATAGCTTGAACACTATAACCAGTCTATTAAACTAAAATTTCAAAACCACAACTCCATTTTCCAAAAAGCCCACCCATTTCTCTAAACTCTACTCACAAATACCTCATTCCTCATTGCCTGCACCATGTGGTCATTGAGAAAACACAGATATTCAATATTGTTCACCAAATCAGCACAGGCTGAGCTCGATTAGCACACAGCTACCCAGGTGGAAACACAAAGAGTCAAAATTGATAACACACCAATCAGCAGAGTCAGTTCATCCAGTTTGGAACAATGGATCCAGAGAAATCAGAAGAGAAAGGTCTAGGACATGAGAGAGGAGGAAGAGGAAGAAGAAGAGAAGGAGGAAGAGCAGTATGGAGAGGAGGAAGAGGTGAAGCAAGAGGAACAGTAAGTGTTGGAGGAGGAGATGGGATAGGAGGACGAGGTGGACAACAAGAGTCTCTGGCCTGTCTCAGAACAAAGACAGGGGCAGAATAATTAGTTGTTAGGTGTGTTGAACTGTACAGCACACTAAGGAATAAAAAATGTGTGCAAATGTTTACATTTGTTGTTTCTTTTGTTCATCATGTGAAAAGGTTTCTGAAGGGGAGAACCACAAGCAACATTACTAACAACCAGTTTTTGTAGTATTGTTTTGAATTTCTCTCACCAGTGTGTCAGACTGTGTTCCACTGTGTTTCTGAAGCCAAAGTTTGTTTTTTCAGCAAAATTGAATGGTTTTGAGAGGAGAGCTTAATTTTGACCTGAAAATAGGACGTTTGGGGGATTGGGTGAGAAGTTGTGGATTTGTGTTTCGAGAAAAAGAGGCATAATTTCAAGAAATGTGTTTAAGCCATTGAGAAAAACTATAATGTTACAGAGAGAGAGAGCGTGGAAAGAGGGAACTGGCATACGGACACAAAGAGAGAAGTTATACGGTGAATCACAACACTGCGCCCCTTTCTTTTATTCCCACACCCCAAACCAGAGGGGGGAAAAAGTCAGCAAATTAGAAATAAGCTCTGAAATGTTTTTTTTGTAACATACAGTCTCAGACAAGGCAAGGTTTTACTGCCAATTAGGCTACTGTTGTTGTTAGTATTAGTAGAAGTAATGGTAGTATTACTGCTTTACTTATGAATAGCTGCAAATAAGAGACATATTTACAAAATCTTTCTCACCTGAACAGATCACTCCAGCATCCTCACCATGTCCACAGTTGAGTTTCGCAAATCCTCTGTGCTGACACTGAGTCAGAGACCTTTCACTTCCTGAACAGCCCACCTCATCAAGCCAGATATGACCCGTTCCTTCACCAAAGTGGGCCGACTGAGTGGCATTCAGTGCTCCACCACAGCCCAGCTGTCTGCACACCACCTTAGCATCATATAAGTCCCAGCTGTTATCACAGACTGTTCCCCAGGCGTTGTTGTAATAGATTTCAACTCTTCCAGAGCACTGAGTAGACCCGGACCCAGCTAGTCTGATACCTAGTTTCAGAACACAGAAGACAAATCAGTGCTGGATAGAACATGTGTTTGTTTGTCATTTAGTCATGACAGAAACCGTTACTGTAAGACAAATTTGGCAAAGGTTATGATTCATTATACTTTGCATCACCCATACAGACTGTGAGAAATATAAAACACTTTTCACAGTAGATCAAACACTCGATGAACTTCATCACCTACATTACAGTTTCATTTACTGTATTGAGCAACATTTCCCACTTGTTATTCTGCTCTTCAATTCTAAAAGCATTCTGCAGGGTGTGGTTAGAAGCTCATATAGTGCTGCATCTGAACAGTGTTACATTTCACACCACAATGACTCGGTGACAGAGCTGCTAAAATACACAGAAAAGGATACATTTATTCAAAATACTTTATCTGAAATGTTTTCTCACCTGAACAGACCACACCAGCATCCTTACCATGGTTACAGTTGTGTGACCCAAATCCTCCATGCTGACACTCAGTTAGAGACCTTTCACTTCCTGAACAGGCCACATCATCAAGCCAGATTTGACCGGTTCCTTGACCAAAATGGGTCGACTGAGCAGTCCTCAGTGCTCCACCACAGCCCAGCTCCCTGCACACCACCTCAGCATCATTTAAGTCCCACCTGTCATCACAGACTGTTCCCCAGGTGTTGTTGTGATAGATTTCAACTCTCCCAGAGCACCGAGTAGACCCGGACCCAGCTAGTCTGATCTGAACACCTTCATTGCATGTAAGACATAACAGAGAGTATTTTAAAGACCAGTGCTAGACAAGTCCTTTCCAAAATGTAATACATTATAGATTACTAGTTACTGTCAATTGAGAGTAATTAATTAGAGTACAATATTACTGTCTCGTAATGTAATGCTTTACATTACTTTTGAGTAACTTTCACTGCTTTTTAATTGGTGCATTATGCTCATAGTAAGATGTGCCTGCATATGTGGATCAGGATCAGTCAGGATGAACTGACAGCAGCCTCTCTGATCATGAAAGTTATTTGTTAAAGCACAGACACACAGCCTACAGAAATTTGATTGATCCATCAGGGGAGCTGCTGTAGTTTGCATCCTGTCGACCATCGCATTCCAGCAACAGGAAATAACGTTACTCTTTTACTTATGGATTTGTTTTTCTGCTGCCCAAATGTTTCTTGGTGTTGGTGAATTACTATAAAAACAAAACACCACTTAATTTCGGGTGCGTTGTAACACGCGCTACTGAGATTGTGACGGTTATAAGTAATGCATGTTATATTACCTCTTTACAGCAAAAAGCAATACATTACTGTAATTGTATTACTTTTGTAACGTGTTACTCCCAGATCTGATAAAAAATAAAGTAAACAGCAAACTAACATTACTGTACGCATGACACAGGAGAATGAACTGACCTGCAGCAGGTGAAGAAGCGGTCAGGAGGAAAAAGACTGTGGAACAGAAGAAATGACATGGCTCATTACATTCAGTAAACTGAAAAGTGCAGAAATGAAAGTTTTCCTTGTTTCTGTTTTAGATTCCCGTGTTTCTTTTAATGATAGGAAGTTTTTTAAATGGCCTTAAGAGACTTCTGTTCTATACAATACAACAACCCTGCTGTACAAAAAAGCTGCTTTTCAAATAAAATTTTGGAAAGTCTGTCTTACCAAGGGCCAAATAGCGTAGGTTTCTCTGCTGTATGCTCCCCATAGCTGACATGACAGCTGCTCTGTGTCAATTATCAGTACCAGCACAGATTAACTAAAAACTGCAGTGCACAGAAACATTTCACACAGCTTGTCCTTCCTGAAACACTTCCTGTTTCTGGTGTTTTTTTCAACCAAAAGCTGCAGCACTGAAGTACCACATCTATCACTAGTTATGGATATTGAAATTGTTGTTGATAAACACAAAGTTCCAAAAAACTGCTTTACCTCCTCCATATATGTTTCCATTTTGTGTGTAAACTAATGCACTGCACTAAGCTATTATCTCTCTAAATGTAATCTATTTTTATGCATTATGTAATCTAATTGTTTTCAGAATAATAAAGTATTCACTGGTATTTTTCCAACTTATCTGATTTTATGAGGCACACGAGTCTGCAAGAAGTGAAAGTGAGCGAAAGCAAAACTATAACTGGGTTTTTCAAAAAGCACACTTCATTTCTCATTGCCTGCACCATGTGGTCATTGAGAAAACACTGACATTCAATATTGTTCACTCAATCAGCACAGGTTGAGCTCAATGAGCACACAGCTACCCAGGTGGAAACACAAGGAGTCAAAATTGATCACACACCAATCAGAAGCTTTATAAAAGGGCCAGAGTCAGTTCATTCAGTTTTGGAACAATGGATCCAGAGAAATCTAAAGAGAAAGGTCTAGGACATGAGAGAGGAGGAAGAGGGAGAAGAAGAGGAGGAGGAAGCAGGAGGAGCAGATAGATAGATAAAAGTTCAGTTCTTTCAGTTTTGGAACAATGGATCCAAACAAATCTGAAAGAAGACATAGAGGACACCAGAGAGGAGGAGGAGGAAGAGCAGTATGGAGAGGAGGAAGAGGTGAAGGAAGAGGAACAGTAGGAGTTGGAGGAGGAGATGTGGAGGAACAGAAGTTTACATTTGTTATTTCTTTTTTTGTGTTCATTATGTGAAAGGTTTTTTGAGGGGGAGAACCACAAGCAACATTACTTATAACCAGTGTTTGTATTACAAGCAATCGAGAAAAACTTTAATGCTTGTGAGACAAAGACGAAACCGCAGCACGTCCCAGAAGGCAGAAAGGCATTGGCCTATTTTAACCCGCGCAGCTTTTCTGGCATTTACTGTACTGGTTTAGCGGATCAGGAAACGGAGATTCACCAGAGCCTTTTTGGAAACTCACACGAATTGAGGAGACGAAAGGGACAAGAGATTTCACATGGCTATTAATCAAGAATGTAGAGATTTTTACATGGACGTTCCTCCCACGGGCAGTTCAAAACCAGAATATCTCATAGATCTCCAATGCTAGCTGGCAGGAGAAATCTCATGTTTGCTCATGTTTCTCACTGAACAAGAGAAAGTAGAAGTGGTAGCTCTGTAAGAGGGAATGAAAGAGAAGAGGAGGTATTACAGCTGTTCATTTGTTGTGATGTATTGAGTGTTTGTTATAAAATTGGTTAAGACTACACTTCATCACTTCAAGCTACACTTTGTATTACATTGTTTCTAAAAAATTAGGCACTTTGTTTTAGTTTAATTAAATTTACAATTTAATATTAGAGTAGTAATTATTTATTATCCCTCCAGTTTGATGTGAAAACTGAAATATGATTTGATTTGACAGTCCGTTGTTGACTAAAAACATATGTTGATACAACATTATGGTACTGAACGATCGTTTTTAATATTCCGGACCTTCAGGAAATTTTCTCTAACTGGACCTCTTTGAATTCTAATTGAATACCCCTGGCCTAGAGAATCCGGTCAATTTTCGATCATAAAACAATAATAAATACTGTTAAATCAGACAAAGAAAGAAACCATATAGCCTACCTATTTTCTTGATTGCTTAAAAACATTTCTTGAAATTATGCCTCTTTTCCTCTAAACTCTAAACGCAAATCCACAACTTCTCACCCAATTCCCCAAACATCCTATTTTCAGATCAAAATGAAGCTCTCCACTCAAAACCATTCAACCTTGCTGAAAAACCAAACTTTGCCCTCAGACGTGACACACAAGCCCTCAGAAACACACACTGCAACACGGTCTGACACACTGGTGGAATAAATTCAAAACAATACTACAAAAACTTTTTATTTATTATTAGTAATGTTGTTTGTGGTTTTCTCCCTCAAAAACCTTTTCACATGATGAACACAACAAAAGAAATAAAAATGTAAACATTTGCACATTTTTTATTTCTTAGTGTACTGTACAGTTCTACACACCAAACAACTCACTATTCTGCTCTGGCATCCTGTCTTTGGTCTGAGACAGACCAGAGATTTTCCTCCTCCACCTCCTCTTCCTCCCTGCTCCTCCACTTTCTATTCCTACTCCTTTTCTACCTCCTCCTCCTATCTCTACTCCTCCTTCACCTCAGTCTCCTCTCTTCTTCCTCCTTCTCCTCCTCTCTGGTGTCCTCTACCGCTTCTCCACTTCTTCCCCTCCCTCCTCAGAGCTGGCCCCCTCCCTCCTCTCTCCATCACAGAGAGGGAAATCAACGGTCTTTCCAGGAGGCAGAAACCCTGCAAAGCAGCTGGGCTGGACTCTATCTCCCCATCCTCCCTGAAGCACTGTGCTGATCAGCTGTCTCCGGTGTTCACAGACATTTTAACACCTTACTGGAGACACGCCAAGTGCCAGCCTGCTTCAAAGCCTCCACTATCATCCCTGTCCCCAAGAAACCAAGGACCAGAGACAGAGTTACTGGGTTATTGCACAGGAATCGTTCCTGACACTGTGAGTCAGAAATCAGCTGTTCATCAGAGTGGTGGTTTGTGGGAAGAAACTGCTTCTGTGTCTGTTGGTTTTGGCGTACAGTGCTCTGTAGCGCCTACCAGAGGGGAGGAGCTGGAACAGGTTGTGCCCGGGAAGATATGGATCTGTAGTGATGTTTCCTGCCCGTTTCCTGACTCTGGAAATGTATAAGTCATGAATGGAGGGCAGGTTGGCACCGATACTTGTTTCTGCAGTCCTGACTGTCCGTTGTAGTCTGTCCCTGTCCTTTTTGGTGGCAGATCCAAACCAGACAGTGATGGAGGTGCAGAGGACAGACTGGATGATGGCTGTGTAGAACTGGATCAGCAGCTCCTTTGGCAAGTTGAGCTTCCTGAGCGGGCGCAGGAAGTACATCCTCTGCTGGGCCTTCTTGATGATGGTGTCAGTGTTGGGCTCCCACTTCAGGTCCTGGGCTATAGTGGAACCCAGAGACCTGAAGGATTCCACAGCAGACACAGGTTTGTTGAGTATGGTGATGGGTGGCAGAGTGGGGGGACTCCACCTGAAGTCCACGGTCATCTCCACAGTTTGGAGCGTGTTAAGCGCCAGGTTGTTCTGACCACACCAGAGAGCCAGCTGATCAACTTCTTGTCTGTAGGCCGACTCTTCACTGACCCGGATGAGACCGATGACCGTTGTGTCGTCAGCGAACTTCAGGAGTTTGACAGATGGGTCTCCTGAGGAGAAGTCTTTGGTGTAGAGGGAGAAGAGCAGGGGGGAGAGCACACACCCCTGGGGGGCGCCAGTGCTGATAGTCCGGGTGCTGGATATGATGTTCCCCAGCCTCAACTGCTGACTCCTGTCTCCTGAAGTCCACGAACAAGATCCTTGCATATGTCCCTGGAAAGTCGAGGTGTTGCAAGATGTGATGCAGACCCAAGTTGACAGCATCATCCACTGACCTGTTAACCCTGTAGGCAAAATGTAGGGGGTCCAGCAAGGGGCCTGTAATGTCCTTCAGGTGGGCCAACACCAGTCTTTCAAAGGACTTCATGACTTCAGATGTCAGGGCGACGGGCCTGTGGTCATTTAGTCCAGAGATGGAGGGTTTTTTTGGGACCGGGATGACTGTGGAGTGTTCGAAGCAGGAGGGAACTTCACACAGCTCCAGTGATTTGTTGAAGATCTGAGTGAAGATGGGGGCCAGCTGGTCCGCACAGATTTTCAGGCAGTCATCTTCTGCCTTTGGAAGAGGTGGCTCATGTCCTCTTCACAGATCTTGAGTGCAGGTGAGAGGTCAGAGGGGGAAGATGACTGTTTGAAAATGGCGTTGGAGTGGGGGAGAGGTGTGACTCTGGGCTTTTCAAACCTACAGTACAAACCATTCAGCTTGTCTGCCAGTCGTTGAGTACCAGCAGTGTTGAAAGATGGTCTCTTGTGGTTTGTGAGTGTCCGTAGGTTTCTCCACACTGACGCAGGGTCGTTGGCTGCAAAGCTGTTATTTTACTTTTCAGCCTAGCACCTCTTTGCAGCTTTGACCTCTTTAGTCGTAGGGAGTGTTCCTGGCCTGGTTGTACAAGACTCTGTCCCCACTTCTGAAGGCCTCCTCCTTGGTCTGACGAAGCTGCCTGAGCTTTGCTGTGAACCAAGCAGGCCTGCTTCCTGCTTTGACTTGTTGGCCTGCTTTGACTCGTTGGTCTATCTTTTCACAGTCTTTACAACAGGTTTTGCAGATTTCAGTTTTTGTGTGTCGGGATACAATGAACCAGATAGTGATCGGAGAATCCTAAGGCTGCACGGGGAACAGAGTGATATGCATCCTTTAATGTTGTGTAGCAGTGGTCCAGTGTGTTAGTGTCCCTGGTGGGACACTTAATATGCTGTCTGTACTTTGTTTCATGACTGAGGTTTGCTTTGTTAAAGTCCCCAAGAACAATGAGCAGGGAGTCTGGATGTTTTTTCTCCATGTTAGTTATCTGGTCGGCCAGGTGTAGTAACGCCTCACTAACACAGGCCTGAGGTGGAATATAAACAGCAACCAGAACAAATGAGGAAAAGTCCCGCGGTGAATAAAATGGTTTACAGTTTATGAATAATGTCTCTAGGTGAGGACTGCATGATTTCTTCAACACTGTGACTTCAGTGCACCAACCTTCGTTTTTATGGCCTCCCCTTGTTTTCCCGTGATCTCCCTTTCGCAATCCGCACGGATGAGATTACAGTAAATCCCGGTAGGTGTCCGGGATGCGCTTGGTGAGCCGGGATTCGGTGAAACAGAGGGCAGCAGATCTGAAGAAGTCCAAGTTAGTTCTGTTGAGGAGCAGCAGTTCATCCATTTTGTTGGCCAGAGAGCGGACATTCACCAGGTGGATTGAAAGGAGCGCAGTGTGAAATCCCCGTTGTCTCAGCTTAACCAGCGCGCCTGCTCGTTTTCCCCTACGCCGTTTCTAAACGATCCCAAACAGAGCTGCTGC